ATACGTAGTTTCACGGTTCATTTGGGCTTCAGTCGCCCTATAGTGTCATGATGGCCCCTAACAACTTTTGTGGGCTGGGGACATAACTCAGCAGTTCAAGCGTTCATAGTGCCAGTGTGAATGGAGTTTGAATCCCCAGAACATACACAGATGAAACATGAGTATGATGGTCTGCATGCAATAATTCCAGCTTCGGAAGGTAAAGACAGGGTATCCCCAGAATAAGCTAGCTAGTAGGACTAGCTGCATCGGTGAGTTCTGAGTCGATTGAGAGACCTTGTCTGAATAACTAAGGTACATTGTTGTTGGGGGATGATTTCCAACAACAGCCTTGTGCCTTTATGTGTATGTCACACACTGTGAATGCAATACCCTCCCCTCACATCCACAACATCCATACTCATGTGCCCACCACACATATACATACGAGCATGGAAAAAGAAAAAAAACTTAATTTGTGAAAAGTAGAAAGACACCATTTTGCTGTTGTTGAATGGAGGGACCACTGTTACTATGGTAGCCAATATGACAAGAATGTCCCTGTGCCGTGGGCCTGAGTCCTCTCCCTAGCCCTTCGGCAAACAGGAATTCCATCATATAAGCATTGAAAGTGATGACATCATTTTTGTTTTGCTCTTTGTGGTCAAGGGCACCCCTAAGGGGCAATCTCAGCTCTCCTAACCCCTCAAGCATTTAAAAGGCAGAGAGTCACCTTCTAAAAGTTGGCTCATCAAAAATGCAAATTTCAAACTTCGTGTACAGGCTGTACTGGGGCAGCAGTGGTGTTTGCCTCAGTACTGAGTCATGGTGGTAAGGTTTTTTTTGTGTGTGTGTCTTAGGTAGATAAGAGGTGAGAAGATCATTTCCAGAAGCTGCTACTCAAAGGCCCTAGGTATAACCACCCCCCTCAGCGTTTCATAGAAGTAATAATGAACTAGGACTCTGTGGCCAACAAAGATCAGAGAGATAAAGACTGTGAGAGTCAGGGAGGGAGTGACCCTAATAGCCAAAGGGTGAGAATTCTCCAGGGAGAGGAAGCAGACCTGAGTCTCCAGGATTCCCAGCAGGACCTGCCCCAGAGGCCGCAGCGGATGCTCGGGGCATCTCATCATTTTGTTCATTTTGCATTGCTCATGGCTCAGAGAACTCAGCAAGCTTCGGAACAGATGGTGCCTGTATCACAGGATGTCCCCTTGTCCTATTTATTCCAGAATGAACTATGTCTTTGTAAACACTACAGTCGTGGCGCAGAATCATAACTGGGCCTCTTCATCTCTGGAAAGGAGAACGGTTGCTTTAAGCTAGCATTTTTCAAACTGTGGCTGTGACCCATTAAAGCTGTGGTCTGGAATCGAGCTAGGTTTGACCTTTTAGTTCACAGAAAGAACACAACGTACCCCATACTTTTTGTGAAATTGTGTTTCAGCCGGGTGTATATGTAAGGGTTTCTATGTTCTGGGTTATAATGGTGAGTGGTGGGGGTACTCCAAAACTCTGAAGTACCACTTAAGATAACTTACAATATTATTATTATTGTTACTATTTATTGTTATTTGGGTGTAGTAAATAGGGGCGGCGGGGCTGTGTCCCCAGCACCCCGGCTGCCTGGCTAGCTTATGCCCGAAATAACAGCACACAAACTGTATTCATTTAATCACTGCTTGGCCTTTTAGCTCTAGCCCTTACTGGCTAATTCTGATATCCCGATCAACTCATCTCTAATAAACTGTGTGCACCGGTCTTACCGGGAAGATTCTAGCCTATGTCCATCCTGGGTCGGAGCTTCATTGCATGCATCTGCCTGGGAGCTGGGAGCATGGCGTCTCTCTGAGGCATCTGCTCCCGAGAGGAGAGCTGTGGAGTCTGAGCTCACTTCCTCTTCCTCCCAGTGTTCTGTTCTGTTTACTCCTCCCACCTATCTTCTAACCAATGAGGGCCAAGCAGTTTCTTTTTATTTAACCAATGACCTTCCTCCATCATTTGGGGGCACGCATGGTGTACTTGTGGAGGTCAAAGGACAGCCCTGTGGAGTGGATTCTCTCCTTCCACCTTTTCGTGAATCAAACTGGGGTCTCCAGGCTTGCTCAGCAGCACCTTACCTGCTGAGTCACCTCCCAGGACTTCAAGCAACATTAGAAGGAGAAGGAGGGTTGATTGTCACTGTAGCGTGAGTGCGGGCTGCCCATCTGTTTAGTTTCTGCCTTTTGTGGGGCTGGAGATTGAACCCAGGGCCTCGAGCTTGCCGGGGAAGCTCTCTCTCTCCTCACCTCTCTCTCTCCTCAGCTCTACTCCAGTCCTTCCTGGTTATTTTTCTAGGTGGTCCATGTGCATGACTGAGTGAGTGAGAGAGAGAGAGAGAGAGAGAGAGAGAGAGAGAGAATTTAAAAGAGACAGCCATTGAGGGAGAACGTTAATTCTGCCATATGCTAGGCAACAGAGTGCCTGTTCTTAATTCTCACATCACATCACATCCTAAGACAAAGCCCTTTGACACTGACTGAAAATTTTGAGTAAATCCTTAATTTTACTTAAATTTTTTCCAGTTCATAATATCTTAGCTTAAGTAGAAGCCTGTCAACTTGACAATAGCTGTATGATCTCGCGCACTGTGTACAAGGAAGAAAAAGTCCTTGAGTTGTTAAGCGTGCTTGTAAGTTTCTAGATGATTCCTCTTCCAAAGATATAGTAAATCCCTCATATTGCCTTGCTTCCAAACAAGGTGGAACTGTTTCTACTTTAGCTTTTCTCATTCGCCTTCAGCATCTCCTACTTAATAGTAGGATGACTGTAGAAAAAGACGCAGCTGACTCCCTGGAATGCCTGATGTCACCTCCGAGATGCCCAGTGTCCTTCCATAGAGATACGCTTAGAAACCCGAGACGTGTTACCCATTAACACAACATTTATTAGTATCTATAAGGTGCAGAGTGTGATATGGGGGGAGGGATGGGGTAAACAACATCAGGCGTCTTCATCAGAGCCTGCTCCGCAGCCAGGGACCGTGGTGACTTTAGGCAGTGTTCTGGGCAGAGCTGGGGATTTGGGTGCCACTGCCTTCAATGCAAAGCAGGGGCCTCATCTTCCATGGCAGCTGATGGACCAGTTAGCTTTTCGTCTGGACACACTGGCGGCCACTGGGGGAAACGGCCGGCTCCATTTCTAGGATGTTACTGTCAAACGCCCATATGCTCCTCATGCTTTGTAGGGAGCGTTGAACACCTTGTTGCTGTCAGCTTGGAACTGAGTGCATGTGAGAGGCACGTGACAAGCAGATGGCTTTGAGACTGAGTTATGGAAGAGAGTTGCACAACCGAACGCTCCCACGTTCAATGTTCCAAACAGCACAGGGACCCGCTTACTGCTCCCTTTCTGCAAGAACCGACAGCTCTTTTCCTGACTGGAAGCTAGTCCACTCCCGTGAGGCAGACACAGGGCTAACACCGAAAGTCCTGAGTTTACTTTGCCAAGCTTGTCCCCTATCACTTTGTTGGGGGTTATCTACCGTTCGGGATTTCTAGGGCATACTATTGACTTTGATTCAGTAGGAATCTATGCAGCCTGGGTTTTTACTTGACTGGAGAAATTAATCCAGAGCATCTCTCTCCTCATGAATAGATGCCCAGGGAGAGGATGCCAGACTGGCATGGTCCCCAGGGGCCACCATCCAATGCCTGACACACCCCGGGCCTCAGTGTCTATTGAGCAAACACATGGATGGTGGCTTGGTTGGTTGTTAGGGCCACAGGGCACAGCAGTGCTTTGAGCCTCTGAAGTCACAGACTCCGTTCATCAGTGTGCGGTGGTTTTCAGTTTGTCTTGGCCAATGTTATCCTTGGGTTTGGTTCATATAAGAAAAACTAACGACTATTCTAAGTATCGTAGATTGCTTCTCTGTAGACTTTTCCTGGCCACATCTTCAAATCATTATACAAAGGCATAGTAACCCATGTTTTATCATTCCCTGTGTGTCTGAGATTTACTAAAACAAAACAGAATTGTATTAGCCAAGTTATAGACTAAAAAAAAAAAAAAAGTCATGAATCATTTTATTATAAAAAAGCAAAACATTGTTATAATTATTATGAATCTTTTTTAAAGGCAGGGACTCTCTCTATACCTACCCCTGGCTGTCCTGGGACTTGCTGTGTAGACCAGGCTGAACTGAGTCTTACAGAGGTCCACCTGCCTCTGCCTCCTAAATTCTGGGATTCAAGGTGTGCACCACCACATTCGACAGAACGTTATTATTTACCATGTTGTCAGATAACTCAGGTCAGCTCCTCCATCAGCACTGGGAACTCTCAGAGCTTCATCATCTCTCTCCCATCCTAAATATGACCGTGTTGTTATAAGAACTTTTTTTTTTTTTTGGGAATGATTCCTGTAGATCCTTGTCAAACAAGTGAAAACTCTCATTGGTTTTAACCCACAGCCACCATATTGTTGCTTTAGATTAAAAAAAAAATGTGTGCATATCTGGGTGTGGGTTTGTACTTGTGCATGCAATAGCCCTAGAGGTCAGAAGAGGACATCAGGCTCCTGGAGTTGGAGTTAGAACCAGGTGTGAGCACGGGATGTGCATGCTGGGAACTGAACTATTCTTTGTGGGAGCCTTACGCTCTTAACTGCTAAGCCGCCTCTCCAGCCCCTAGATACCCGTCTTTAAACACAGTAGAAGACAAAGGAGAAAAGCCTCAGGCATAAACGTAGTGTGTTAGATAATTAAGTAGCTTACCCCTCCCACACAGTTGTTATTAGTCTCTGGCTGAATGAGAATCCGTTTAATTCCTTCAAGCTATATAAATGTGATGAAAATATACAGTCTCACAGTATGTTGAAACGGCGTGTGAAAGGCCTTCCCACGGTATCTGTGTCATATGTCAGAGATGAATAGTGTTTCTGATTTGATGGCCACTTGGGCCAAGTTTACTTTAAGAGGAGGCCTGCTCGGAGACATAACGGTAACAGAAATGGTCTCTTGGGAAAGCCTATTGGTGAGGTTTAACTTTTTTGTCTTTTTTTTTTTTTTTTTTGAGGTATGCTTTCTTTATGTCTTCTAAGTGGGCATTTTATAGGCCCTGGGCCAAAGTGCCTTACAACCATGCTTAACTACCATGCACACTGCCTGAATGTTCAGGGAGACCCAGGTGGTGGAGGCAGAGGAGGGTGGGGTTTGAGGAACCTTCCTCTGAATAGCAGTTTCTGCTCTTGAAAGCGTGGTGGGGAAGCCAACAACATCTACAGGACCTGGGAGCCCTTTCCAAACACAGCGCTCCCTGACCAGCCCTGTCAAATCAGCTTTCATATCCAAACCAAATCCTCAGGTGATCTATATGCATGTACGATTCTGGGGGCATCATCCTGGGACCCCAAAGTTTCTTGGTGACCAAGCACACCATGCCATGGCTTTGCTTTCCCTTTCTCTCTCCTCGTGTTTAGAATCTCCCCGTTTTAGAGGCTAGCATCCACAGCTGAAGGCACCCTTCTCTCCTCACTGCTCCTACACCTACTCTCTTAACCCTAGATCACTGTGCTTACTGTTATCAAGAAACCATTTCCAGGGCTCATCCCCTGAGTGTAGAGGTTTCCTTGGTAACACCTACTGCTGGGATGAACCTTCTTAGGCTATGCTGAGATCCCATGCTTCTAGGCTGTCAGCGGAAATGCCACTCCCTTTTGGTTTTAAGTGCCATCTGTGCATGGGGGAGGGGGTGTGGGAGGAGGATTTCTGTCTCTATCATAGAATTCCTCCAGTTTCACTATCGGTTTCTTTGCTAATATTTGTGGGGTGCTGGTGGGGGAAGGGTAGACTTGTTAGGTGCCTGGGGTAGTCAAACCAGGGCTTTCTCAGTAAGGGGAAAGAGCATGGAACTGCTAAGGACCAACTTCTCAGATCCCTCTAGAGGCTTCACACGGCCTCATCTTTGTGTCCTGAGGTGCAGCTTGCGGCAGGTGCCCGGAGGCAACCGGAAATCCAAACCAAGACCTAGACTGACCAGCCAGTTGGCCCCATAGAAGCAGCTTGGTCCTTCTGTTCCAAACTGTGCTGGCAGGGGAAGGGCTCAGCAGAAAAGTGAGCTGGCAATTTAGAAGCACTGCTTACGAATTCAGGCTCTGTGGGCTGGGGGTTAGCGCAGCCAATGGTCAAGGGAACATTTTAGGGTCAACCAAAATAGGGAGCACCCAGGCAGATCCTCCTAGTCAGAAGATACCGGCAAGGGGAGAAACAAGATTGCTTTCTGGCCGTAGTGAGTCCGAGGACCGCGCTTGCAGCTCCCGTTCTTCTTGAGGCCCACAAACCAGTTCTTCTCCGCGTGCTTCTTGGATGTGTAGGTGTTATAATGGTTCTCTTCCAGCCTTTCTAGGAACAGGCATTCCTCATCTGGTGTCTGCTAAAGGATAAAAACCAAGGGGAGGAGGACAGAACAGTTAGTGAGTGGTTTGAAACAGGGTTCCCTTCCTCTCTTGTTCACCAACTGTGTGAGGGTCTCAGATTCCTCCCCACACCGGTGATTGTCACTAAAAGGCTGGGATTTTTGCCTCAGTGTTGTTATGAACACAAATACTTATGTGAAATGTGCTTTGCACATCCAAACACACAGAGGAGCTTCAGTGTGTTTCTGTTGCTCTCAGACAGGCCTTGAGCTCCTGGTTCTCTTCTACCTGCCTTCCATGAGCATGTGCCACCATGACAAGACACTTAGAGAAAGAAAAAAAAAATAATCCAACTTATTTCTATTGTTTCTGAAAAGAACTATACTTCTTAATTTTAATAGAAATGGGTTAAATCAAGATGTGAGAGTTAGCCAATAGGAGGCTAGAGCTAATGGCCAGGCAGTGTTTAAATGAATATAGTTTCTGTGTGATTATTTTGGGTGTAAGCTAGCAGGGTGGAGGGAACAAAGGGCCACGCTCCTCGTGCAACAGTTTGATATATTGCCAGGGAGTAAATGCAGGACCTTGTATATTCTAGTTAAATGTTCTACCACAGAGCGATGTTCCCAACTCTAGACAACTGTTCACATTTCACAAAACTCCCCTATCTCTTCGTGCACATGTAGAATGTATAAGGCTCTACAGATATAGATTCATAACCTGTTAAGGTCATAGACTTTTTTTTTTTTGATTTTTTTTTGAGACAGGATTTCTCTGTTTTACAGTCCTGTCTGTTCTGGAATTTGCTTTGTAGACCAGGCTGGCCTCAAACTCACAGAAATCTCTCTGCCTCTTGAGTGCTGGGATTAAAGACATGCACCACCACCTTATCTGCTGTTTTAATATTGAGCAATAAACTGATGAAAGTATATTCAATATCTCTACCAAGGAAAAGCGAAGTTAAAATATTATTAGTCATTATTAGTTAGGATATCTTTCTGAGTATGACTTGGAGATAGGTATCAAAATCTGAAACATCCTCTCTCCATGTTTCCCTTTCTCTTCTTTGTTCCACTTCTGGGACTTGAACTTAAAGTTCTCCCTCATGCTAGGCAAGCCCCTCCTGCCCTAAAGCATGCGTTATTACCTTTGGTGCAGCAATTTCCCTTCTAGGACTTTGCCATTAGGAAGCAGTTGAATGAATATAAAGTCCCAATTTGAGGGTGGATTTTGAAGTATTGGCTATTGTGGCAGTACAATGGAAGATGCCTATGACAAGGTGATAAAGTTCCTCCCTCACAGTAGAATCCAGTGCGGCTTTGGCTTATTGAAATAGCCCAAGCATGTCAATAATATGGTTATTTGGGAAAAGTCTATCAGCTGATATTTTACCTGCAATTATTCTATTAAGAGGGAAAGAAGTCAATGTTTCAAACTTCTATAGGAGCAGATTCTGGAATGCTCGTACTTAATTTGAATTTAAGGCAGCCATGTGGAAATTCTTACGCTATACACTGTCCTTTTGATGACCTGCCGTATCGGACTGTGCCTTTACCAAGTGTCATGATCCTTATGGACTCTCTTCAAGCACAGCTGAGTTCTGATTCCCTTGCCATGGTTTTGGTGTTCTATCAGATCATTAATTGTTCTTTATATGTGGACGTGTTTGTTTTATTAGGGTACGAGACCTACCAAATGGAGAGGTGAATCTTGCTAGCCTCTCTGGTCTTGTATTTCCCTTTAGACCCGGCTTTGCGGATGCTGGCTGCTCATTACCTCTCGAGTGGGTAAGTGGAATTCTTTTCTCTTCCTGCTTGGGTGGGAGCCAGATTTCTGCTAAGCAGAGTTTACCGCTGAGCGACATCCCAGCCCCAGCGCTTTTATTAGCAAGGAACTATGCAACAGGAAGTGTCCGGCTTCTTATTCATTTATAGTCTGGGGAAGTGACACCTGGGTGAGACATTGTGGACCCTTCTGGAACAAAACAGGCTATAAATATAGTATTTAATTGAATGACTCTGCCTCTGGAGGAACTTGGTCCAGACACTAGTACTAGGGCACATTGTTGAGACAGAAGGAAGGAGGTGGTTTTAGACTGTGTGGGTCGTCATGACCCTGGAGTATGATTACCCCATCATGGCCCTCAGTGGGTGTCGGGTGATGAAGGTTGGGTTGGTCCTAGACCCTACCTGTTGTTCTTTGTCACACTGGTGCAGCCGATGTGCAGAGTGGCTGAGTCATGACTGAGGAGGCCAGCCCTCTCAGAGCTACTGCACCACGCAGCCAGGCTTTGTGTGTACTTACTATACATTTGGCACAGTGCTGGGTACATGGTCCTCAGGCCCTGATTCATGCCTATTGTTGTGGCTGTTTCTATTTTTATATTTAGCATGCTTCCCCTGCCCCAGTTACTTGAGTGACATACACACATTGTAGAAAATCTGGAAAATACAGGAAGCCGTTAGTGTTTTATAAACCCACCCACTTACCACCACTGTAGATAACTATATTAATACTTCGTTATACAGTGTTTCAAACTTAATTTTTCGAAACAAAAATATCTGTTCTACACAGACCACAAATAGGAATCGGAATGGATGAATACCTAAAATTTGCTCTGAGTATGAGAGAGTTTTCAGCTCTGTTAGACTGTTTCTTTGTCAATGTGGTATATGCAAAGATTCGTAGGTAGGACATGCTAAGGTCTTATTTGGGTGAATTCAGTGATGGCTATGGTTGATGTGGGACAGGGATTTCTTTTTCTAGAGCCTTGAGAACACTGGCTTCAGGCAGTTCTCCCTCAACATTTATATTTAAGTGTAAAATATTAGAATAAGTGTCAAAATTAATTTCAGATAGAAAAAGTCTAAAACCTCAGCACAATCTCTAAGACATAGTGAGTGTGTGGGGCTCACAAGCTGATCGTTTGTCTTAGGGGTGTCATCAGTATAGGGCCTCCCAGGTGCCAGAAGCTCGTGAGCAAGTTCCCCATGCTGTCCCCTTGGACCATCTTGAGCCTGTGTAGGTACTGTCCGTTGGGATAGACAGGGCTCACAGTGGACAAACAGCTAGTTAGGATAGGAAATGTATGAGCTTCATCTGAGGGTCTAAGATAGAATGGTTGACTGATTTGGATTTGATGGGTGATTAGAAGAATTGCCTTAAAGTCCTTTTCTTGGGCAGCAGTCACACCCAGCTCCAATCACCTGCACTGTCTTTTCCCATGACAGCGTTCCATCTTCTGCCCTCTAGTGGGCAGTGGGGTAGCTGCGCTGTGTCCACACCTAGCAGGCTTCTACGCCTGTACTGCTTTGGCAGGCAGTTTGATACCACTGAAAGTCAGCCCACACTAAACCTGCTTTCCAGACTGCCTTTTTTGTAGGCCCCATCTTCCAGAAAGGGAGGGATTTGGGCCACAAATTACAGGCAAGATTCTGATAAGTGCTCGGATACAGAGAAAGAATCACTGAATCCAAAGCATTGCAAGTTGACTTAACATTGTAGGTGACCTTGAAAAAAATCTTCAAATTTTTATACAATTTAATGTTTTAAGTGCTAAACTACTGCAATTTTTATTTTTTAAAAAAGCATTAAGAGACGAGAGAAGTAACAATAACCAGTAAACCTGACTTCAGTTTCCAGTACCTACACTAAAAAAACGTCAGGCTTGGTGCATGCATGTCCCAGCAGTGGGTATTGGAAGACAGGCAGACCCTGGCCTTTCTTTTCTTTTCTTTTCTTTTCTTTTCTTCTCTTCTCTTCTCTTTGCCCCTCCCCCCTCTCCTCCCCCCTCTCTCTTTCTTTCTTTCACCCTGGCATTTTCTAGCAAGCCAGCTTAGTCTACATGGCAAGTTCCAGGCTAGTGAGGGACCCTGTTGAGGACTGACCCCCAAGGTTGTTCTCTGGCCCTCAGTGCTTATGTGCACACATGTTACCCCCCCCCCCCCCCCGCCCCCAAACAGGCAGGACATTAAGAGACACATAGCTCTCACTCAACTCAGGGACACTTTTGGACCGAATGAATAGAGTAGGATTAGGCATTCTGGAAGGAGTGCCCAACAAGTTAGCAAATTACCAACCATCATTTCTTCTCTGTGCGATAATTGGAGTATTTTGAGAGAATACCACAAGAAACTCTTTTATGTTCAATGCCTAAAATAAAGCAAGGTGGAGGGTGGGAATCGTACTGGAAAAAATAACAAACAAAGACTAATTGAGGGTCTTTCATTTGTATCTCCCACGTAACAAGACTTCTGGAAACCTCAAGCCTTGGCTGAGTCTGGAGGCGTCAGCCTCATACTTACTGAGCCGTATAAAAGCCCGTCCGTGTCCATGGCCAAGTACTGGCCAGTCTCCGTACCCTTTATATACACTTCGCCCGCGCTTTCCGCACTCAGCTGCAGCTGAACTGGAATGAAAATAACACGAGCAAAAGTCAACAAACACTTTTGCCAGTCATCCCGCAGCCAGAACAGTCGGCCATGGAAAATTCTGCTCATTCGTTCTGTAGCAGAGGACGAGCCCTTCGGTGAATCCAAACAGTAGTTCCCTTTCCTTTCTGTTCACGAGAAGTGGCATTCCTGAGACTAGGAGGGACAATGGCTGGCTTGCCAGTCCATATGCTGTGCACGCCTGCCCAGCTCCTCTGTCCTCCCCCTCTGTCACCTGAGGGGAAACAATTACAGAGAGAGGTGATGCTGGCTTCCCTGGTTCCGCTCGCCTAGTACTAGTTCTTGGAGTACTGTAGAGCAGGCAGTGGCAACAGTTTTAGCTGTCACCCTACTGGATAGGGACGCACTTTCAAGGCAGAGAGTGACATGTTGGCGGATCATTAATATTTTAAACCCAGAAACCGTTCTTTTCCTAGAGAGGAGAGAGTTCAAGGGAGTCAGGACTCACCCACAGTGAAATTTAGTAAACCCCTCCACTCCCAAGGCATCCCAGATGGGTCCCTGGCAGAGAGGAAGGAGTTACCCATTTGCCCATAAATGCAGGGACGGGACAAAAGCAATGTTTTCAACTGGGGGTCATTTTCTTCCACAAGGGATGCCTGGAAAAGCCTGGGGGATTGTCTGTGTCATTGCAGCTGGAGGGGATGGACACTGGCATTAGTGGGCAGTGGCCAAGCATGTGCAAAACATCCTCTGATGCAGAGAGCACGCTAAAGGGCCTGGGACCCATGCTAAGACACCTTACGACTAAAGGCAAGGATCCCAAGTCGCTTAAGACACCTATCACCATGTGTTCTGGTTGGTCCTCCTAAGGGGCTTTGGGTAGTGATGGACGTATCTCAGAGGCTAATACCCAATGGATAATTGTTATTTTGCTTGTTGACCTCTGAAGGGAAGTCATTAATGGTTATCCTTGGGAGACAGAATTAATGTTGGACTCCTGTGGATAATTTCTTTAGCCTCTAGACAGTCACAATTGTCATTCTGACTTGAAGTGAGAGGGCCAAAAGTAAGCATGTCTAGAAAGTAGATTAGCGGTGGCCATGGCCTAGGCAGGAGTCAGAATTATGACAGGAAAATATAATTAAGAGGTATGTGGAGTTTTATTGCGCTTCTACTCATAATGAAAGCAGGACCAGGACGGCAGCCCAATAAACAGGGCTGGGTTGGAGGGCAATGGACTTGACAGATTTCTCTATGGGTCCACTTAGACCCCGTCCCCTCCTTCAGTATAGAGATGGATACGCAGCTTCAGTGACTGAGCTCCTGGCCCTCCCTTCTGTACATAAGCTTCATCCTGGGAGATGGAAGCACACAGAAGGCCAATCCTAGAGATGGCACATGTGTGCTTTTCTCGAGAGAGCTGTGCGTGACTGCCAAACACATAGACTCCCCCTGCGACAGCGTTAGTGTTCTCTTCACACAGTTCTCCATCCCTGTTTTTTCTTAACAGCTGTCAGAGATGAAAGAGGTTGCTTTTGCAGGGTGTGTGTGAAAATTTAAGTGTATGAGTGTTTACACTAAACTTGTGTGTGTGCACCATTTGTGTGCAGTTCTCACGGAGGCCGGAAGATAGATTTAGAGCCTCTGAGACTGAATTTACAGACAGTTGTGAGCTGCTCTGTGGGTGCTGGGAATTGAACCCAGGTCCAGTGGGAGAGCAGCCAGTGGTGTTAATTGCTGAACTGTCTCTCTACCCTCTTGCGTGTTCTTTTTTGCTAGTCGACTTGTGCTCCATTTTGTAGCTATCTGTTCTCTGACCGTTGACCACATCCTGACAGGTGTGCTGCTGTTCCCCTCTTCCCCTCTGCTTTCCTCATCCTACAATTCACGCAGGAGTGACACAGAGTTCCATCACCTCTGGAAGATGTACCTCTCCATCCTCGGAAGTCTGCTGTAGAGACTCAAGACTTCCGCCTACTTCCTGTGGTGAGCAGAGACAGTTGAAATTACAGGAAGGGAGCTGGGAGCTACCAACTTCCATTCCTACTGGGCTCCCTAACTCTGGTCATCTCTGAAAGTCTGGTCATGAGACAGTAGGGCTAAGAACATCTAGGAGCTGCTCTCTCCAGCCTCTCAGAGCAATCACTTGCTCACTATGCTATACCTGTGTAACTTTCAGTTCGTGTGTGTGTGTGTTCGCACGCTCACACGTGTGCGAAAGTCATTAGGCTAATATTAGCAGAAATGGTTCTGCCAAGCCACCCTCAACAAGCTGTGGTCTTTGAGTTGTGTTCCCAACACATTCTCTGGAATTAATGGGGCCAAGATAAGAGATATGAGACTTGAGGCTGGACTCTGCATCCAGCTAGTGGGGTGACCCTGGCCAGGCTACTTAATCTGTCTTGGGCAGAATGGTGGGTGTTAGGTTCCATGTCTATCCAGGTCTTTCCAGATCTAACTGTCTGTGAAGCGGGTGGCTACGTATGATCGTGATGCTCTGGACACAGAATGGCATGGCATGTCCAGGTAAAAGAGCACAGCCGTGGTGCATGCTGTGACATAGGGAAGTCAGTGATTGCAGTTGCACGAAAAACCCAGAATAAGCAAATACGTAAATACAGTGAGGAAATTAGTGGGGCCCAAGGCCTGAACAGGAGCTGGGGTAGATATGCAAGGATCATGGTTAGGAGCCTGGGAGATTCTTTCTTGAAAATCAAAAATCATAGAGATGTTCGTACAACCCCATGAAGAAAAGTTGTAAGGGCCATGAGATGGCTCAGTGGTTAAAAGCCTCTGCCTTGCAGACTACCGACCTGAGTTTAAGCCCAGGATCCCAGGCTAAATTAGTTTTTTTTTTTTTTTTGAGATAGGGCTCCATGTAGCCCAGGCTGGCCTCGAACTTGCTATATAGCCAAGGATGACCTCAAACTCTCAATCTTCTTGCCTCTGTTGCCCAACTACTAGAATTACAGGCTTGCTCCACCAAACTCCCCAGGGAAGGTTTGTTTGTTTGTTTGTTTTTAAAGCATTTAACACCTTAGCTCTGTCTCTTGCTGCAGGGCTGGGTGAGGGCAAGTTCTTCCTTTTGTGGAATCCCATCCAGGCCTTGGAAAGATCTCACAGAGGTAAACAAGAGCTGGGGCCTGCCTAGAACGTGACCTCAGACCTCCGCCAGGGCTGGTTGGTGTGCCGGTAGAGTCGGCTCAGGAGTTTCCTCTCTAAATATTATTTCTCCAGGATGTCCAAGTTTCGTAGCTCATTTTCGCTGGGTTTCTTTCTGGCTGCGTTTCCTACACATATATTTCTGTGAGCATGGCTGGCAGGAAGGCACAACGCCCAACCCTCTTGGCGGGGGTGTGGGGGTGTGGGGGGGTGGTGGTGGAACGGGACCCCATTCTAGTTTTGCAGACCTACACCCTCTTAGCTGCTGGCTGTGGGGAACACTCAAGGGAAGAGGAAGTGTGACCTCAGAATCTTTGCACCCAGCTTCCAGCCTGTTGCAGCAGAGCAGGGAAAAAGGGTTGAAAGACATTCAGTGTCCCCACCCCCCACCCACCCAGGTGTGCTGAAATCTGTGCTCATTGACAGAGGGGGTTCATGCATCCAGGACTTACACAGCACTAGGGTGACAGACACACAAACCTATGACTCAACAGCTCTCTAACAAAGGCCCCTTGTTTGAAGGCAAAAGTAGATACAGGCGGATCTCTGGGAGTTCGAGGCCAGCCTGGTCTACAAGAGCTAGTTCCAGGACAGGCACCAAAGCTACAGGGAAACCCTGTCTCGAAAAACCAAAAAAAAAAAAAAAAAAAAAAGTAGATACAAGAGTAAAAGTACAATTAAATATCACACCTGCTCCGCTCCTGTCCCTGTTGCTCTGTTCCTCTCTGTGTCATCTCCTCACCTCTGTTCTTGTAGAGAAAAGCAGGAGATGGTATCCAGCCGCAAAGGGACTGCAGGGCAGTAAGTAAATCCTTACTGGAAACTTTGTAAGAAGCGTGAGCTCGTGTGTATAGCGCATGAACAAATGTGTGTAAAGTGTAAAACTTCCTGGATACCGGTCAGGGGTGTCCAGCAGCTGCCCTGGGGAGCCTTAGAAGGTGGTGTAGAGGACCGGGAACCCACAGAGAGACGGTCTGATTCATTCTCATGCTCTGTTTCTATAAAATCAGTTCCGCAACCATCTCTGGGTCCTGGGTTGATGGTGTTTGCTGGTCTTCGGTCTATAGTGTGTGCTTTTGTGTTTTACTACACACTTGTGAGCTATCACTTTCATCGGAGTCATCATCTCCCACAATTCCTCCTGCCTCCCAGGGCTGGAAATGTTTTAAAGTTCTCTTCCTTGTTAATGGGCAGACCCTCAGAGCTCCCCAAACCCTCATCCCTTCCCTTTTTTCCTCCCTCCCTCCCTCCCTCCCTCCTTCCTTCCTTCCTTCTTTTCTCCCTTCTTCCTTCCTTATTGTGTGTATAGGAAGTGTCTGTGGAAGGTTGTATGCGAGCTATGATGTATGTGTGGAGCTTTTGGACAGAGTTCTCTCCTTCCAAAACCTTTACATGGCCTCTCTGAAAAACAAACAGTCTCAGGTTTTAGACTTGCAAGTGGGTGCTTTACCCGCCAAGCCGTCTTGCTGGCTCCAAGACTCGATTCTTGCTCCTGGTGACCTCTGAGGTGGGTCAGTGACTCAGCTCAGGCTTGAACACAAGGATCCATAAGAGGGGAGCATCCTTCAGACCCAGAACTACTAGAGGTAGGGGTGCAGGATGGGATGGAAGGTCCCAAAAGCCCCGACTTCTCCATGTCCAGCACCCTCTACCAGGTGAGCACCCTGAGCGGAGAATGATGCCCTCACTGGGAGGGAGACCCTGATGGCTATGAACAGGAAGAGCAGCAGCCCTGGGCATTCCAAGTTGTTTGTTAATGAAAAACAAAGTCAGTAGCTAGTTGAAGACTCCCTTTAGCCCAGGTCTGAAATGGAGACAGCAAATTTTGATTTAGCAGAACAGGAAACAATTT